TTTGTGTGCGTTTACCGTCAAATCAGATCTGACTGGTACAGGAGGAGATTGTCCCTCCTTCCCCGGCAGAGCATCTGGTGGATTCCAACCGTGTGCCTCTGGGATTGTAGTTGCAGCTCCTTGCCACTAGGCCACCAGAGCTCCCCGATTTCTGTTTTCTTGATGTTATGATTTAATTCATATTGAAGGATGCAATCTTCAATTTTCTCCAGGAAGTACTTTAAATCTTCTTCACTTTCTGCCAGTAAGGTCGTGTCATTTGCATAACACAGGTTATTGATAAGTCCAGTCTGGATGCCACATTCTCCGTTAAGTTCAGCTTCTTGAATTAACTGCTCAACATACAGACTATACAGATATGGAGAAAGGATACAACCCTGATACACACCGTTCTTGATTTTAAATCATGCAGTGTTTGCTTGCTCTGTTCAATTAACTGTTCCTTAGTCTATGCAGAGGTTTCACATGACACAATTAAGTGCTCTAGGATTCCAATTCCAATCAATGTTATTCATAATTTATTATAACCTGCACAATCAAATGCTTTTGCATAGATAAAAAAATATGTAAACATCTTTCTGGTATTCTCTGTCAGCAAAGAACCATCTGACATCAGCAATGATATCCCTTGTGCTACAGCCTACTCTGAATCCAGTCTGAATTTCCAGTAGTCAGTGTACTGTGACAGTCATTTTTGCATAGTCTCCAGCAAAAATAATGATATTCAATAATTTTCATAGTCTGTTAGATCACATTTTTTTAAAAGGAAACAAATATGCATTTCTTCTAGTCCATTCTCAAACACAACTCTAGACCCAGCTTTCCCTCAGGTCACAGCCACACTATGCTGGAAGCTCTCAGAGAGCTTTGCTGCGAGCCTCAGACTGGGTCACAACCGTCCTGTAATCAGCCTCCAGATTAGTGGAAGCACCTCCTCTGACTGAGGTCCTTCCTTCTTACTAAGTACCCTTACCAACAAACTCCATGGACACATTTGCCCGTATTTTGACACATCACATTGGCAATTACTGTCACTTTATGCTAACCATCTCTAACTAGGGACCTTGCTTGTACCATCCTCTGGATGGGCAAAGACACCATTTCACAGTTTAGGAAGCTACAAGTCCAAAGTCAAAGTGTCAGCTGTAGGGGAAGGCTTTTCCACTGTGGCCTCTGCTTCTAAGAGAGTCCTAGCACAAGAAAAAGCTCCACTCTTGGCTCTTATTTCTTGGTGATATGAAAGTCCCTCCTTCTCTCTGCTCAATTGCCTCTTCTCTTAAGACAAAAGATAATGCCAGTCACAGCCCAGGCAAACTCCTCTTTCTGACCTGATTAAGGGCAATGTATCCCACCTTAATCTCCTTATAATGATTGGCTGATCATATGTCCAATCCCAACATGAAGATGATTGCAGAATTACATAACTGCCTCTAATCCTTCCTCATTAATACTATAGAGGTTAGCATAATTTATAACACACAGGATAAGAACATAATACTGAGAATCATGGTCTAGCTAAGCTGACACAATTCAGCTCTATAACATTATTATTCTAACATACCTTATCTATACCTCACCTTTTCCGAGATACTTAAAAGCTGTACAGTATTTCATCAATCTAATACTGATTGGCCACCCACTTCTGAAATAGCAGGCCTCTGAAAACCCTGTGCACAAAAGAACACACGCAGATTAACAGAATGGGCAACCTAGGTA